TGAGAACTGGCGGGGACCAACAAAAACCCACTCCTGGATCAGAGTCTCGAGCTCTGCCTGTAACCATGTTTTTAAAAACGAGGATCCTCCGGGTCCCATATCCTGGAGTTCTGCCTACAGTTTGGGAAATAGCTGATTGCCACTTCCTTTGAAAAGATTTTTTTTCTGGTATCGCTGCATCAAGCCCATCCATCACATTAAGAATTTACTGAACAGTGAAGTAGTTACTAAAGTTTACTAAGTTACTAGTTACTAAAGTTCTTGATAAATGACTATCAGACTTTGAAAACCTGGTATCACTGGATCATGTTCAACAATTTTGTTGAATTAATATTATCTTAAAGGGTTTTTGAATTGGATTTTGAATAAATGTGCAATTAATTGTTACAGTTTTGAATTTTACTATTACTATTTTCCTTCCATCATGCAAATCACCCAGTCACATGACCCCCCAGCCATGCCCACAAAGCCACGCCCACAGAACCAGTAGTAAAAAAAATTGAATTCCACCGCTGGGTGGGGGGCACTGAGGATCAGTTTGTAGCACCGCTGGGTGGGGGGCAGTGGACTGAAAAAGTTTGGGAACCATTGTTTTAAACTTTTATTGGAAATGCAAGTAAAAACAGGCCAAAACTTTGGCCCTGCCTGCTCTGTTTATGCTCAGAGATGTTTTTTGGTGAAGGAGGAAGAAGGATAAAAGGGTTACATTTTTCTTCTCTCCTGCTATTTACAAGCAAAATTGTATCTGATGAGAAGTGTATGTTGATGATCAAGACCAGTCATGACCATTATAAGGAGAGAAGAAAAATTTGGAGACAAAAAAAATTGGGCATTGGCCCATCCTCTTTGGCAAAAGGTCCCTTGGGGGAGTTCCAAAGAGGTCTTTGTCACATTTAACACAAGATATAATAGGATTGTGTTAGGGATCACAATATGTATGTTACATGTGTTCTATTATACAAAGAGATAAACAAACAAAAATAACGTTTTACTTTATTAAGTATTTAACATCTTTTGAAAAATTTCCCTTTCTCTGTTCAACAAAATTTCCTGATGGCGTATACCATGGAAAAGGAATTGAAGATATCCATTTTACCAGCAAAATTGTATCTGAAGGGAATCAGCTAAACCACTCGTGACCATTAAGGAGAGAAACAACCAATTGAAGGAGGAAAAACCCCTGCCCATTGGCCCATTTTACTCTGACATGATAACATCCATGACTTCTCCAATCAGGCCTTCCGCACCCCCTTTGGTATCCTTTTCATTCATTAATTCATGGTTCAGATAAAAATATATGTGATTTCACATAACATGCAGTGAGAGAAGCCAAAAAGATGCACATGGATTAAACCAGGGGTCTTCCAACTTTTCAAACGGGGGGGGGGGGGTTCATGGTCCCTCAGGCTGCTGGAGGGACTGGACCAGCTGGGTGGGCGTGGCTACTTGGTCATGTGACTGGGTGGGCATGGCCAACTTCACAGTCCAAACAATACCCATAAATGAAAGTTTAATTTGTTGGGCTCCTAGGGGTGGAAAGCAGGTTAGTGATGGGAGGTGGTTGCCTTGGGGTGTTTATGAGGGACTTCTGTTTCTCTTTCTCTCTCTGTCTTGCTCTCTCTCTCCACCTCCCCCCCTTTCCGCCCTCTCCCCCTCTCCTGGGGAGGCAAAACACGGGCCCATTTTTGGCCTCACTGGCCTAACGAAGGTGAGTGTGGGCTAGAGGAAAGATGGCTTGATGTTTGCAGCATAGCCTTTTGGTTCCACGCGGGCCATATTAATGGCTTTCACATACCACGCACACACACACACACACAACACACACACACACACCAGGTGCACAAAGTGTCCCTTGAGTGTCCCCTGGGTTCCAACTGGGAACAAAAGTAATCAACTTTGATCATCAGGTGAGATTATGTTTTGGGGACTTTAGAGATGCTTTTGGTATAGGTGGAAGAAGGAATAAATGGAGTGCTTGTTCAGATGGAAGAATATTCAGAACGCCACAAAATAAAACGAAAGCTACTTACCGTTCCACCAAGTAAGCTCTAAAAAGGAAACAAAAGGAAACTATTTTCATAACACTCATGATTTCTCCAACCTCATCATCATTTCCATCTTTAATGTAATCTATATAAATTCCTTCATTGCCCAGATATAACATGTGTTCTTTCACACAACGTACAATAATAGGGACCAAACAGATGCAGATATATTAAACGTTTTGAGAGAGAGAAAATTCCTTCTCGATATTGTTCCATATTCTCACAACCACAATATGGAACTTTTTTTGTGACTCTTTTTTTTTTTAATCACAGCCATTAAGCCAAACTTTTCCACATTGACTTTGCTTGTTGCAGGCTGGCTGGGAAAGTTGCAGCCATGATCAATATGGGCCAGTTACTGAGCACGTAGGTCCTAAATCATAGTCACAGAACTAATGGACGGTGTGATGGCCATAAATTTGAGGACAGGTCATGGGTCACTTTTTTCAGCACTGTCATAACCTCAACCTATCATTATATAAATAGTCATAAATTCAGGTTCCCTGTATGCATGTATCAGGCAGATGTCCAGATATAGATGGATAAAATATCTCTCTCCACTAATAACTTCACATTTCTCTTTTCCGCGCAAGTGAAATAATCAGCATATTATTGGCCAGTTAAAAATGAAAACTAATGTAACTCTTTCCTTCCCCAAAGTGTCAAGTTATTTTTCTGAAAAGAAAGAGTCTGACCAGTGGTGGGTTCCTACCGGTTTGGACAGGTTCAGCTAAACCAGTAGTGGTTTGGTGGCCTGGGTTGCTGGAACTGGCAGATCAAAAGACAGTGGCAGAAGCAGAAATACAAACCTCTAATTATATCCATGTGTCATCACTGCTATGCAACCTATATTGACATATGACTACCTATCGGGGTGAAATTCAATGTTTTTTTACTAC